TTGTGTGTGGGGGGGGGGGGGGGCGGGGCGGATCAAGGGGGACAGAGGTGACGACAACGCTTTCGAAATAGCATAATAATAATTATTGATATAATAATAATAATAATAATAATAGACAAACACCAGATAAGGCAGTGGTTATTCGCAGTTATAGTTGCGGTGAGCAGTCGTGAGGGAGATGCCCCCGAAAGCTACGTGTTAGCCAAAGTTACCGAGAGATGCGGATTATAACGTTTCGCTCCTCGATCTAAAAAGTGTAAACGTCAAGTTTCCTACTGCCTAAGCAGTGCATAAGTAAAAGAAAAGCAGTTCATTTATCGAGCGATAACATCCTTTTCCCTCGTTAACCTTGAAGGTTAGCAGCAATTAAAGTTCGAGCTTGCATCAGAGCGCGTAATATCCAATTTTTTAAATCTGAAGAACATCCCACAGAATTCTACAATAGATAGAAAGAGACGAACGTTGTAACGTCATGTACGAAATTCATCATTCGCGCAATGTTATGCAGAACAATGCGTAAATGAGAAAAGATTCCCTGAAGTTCGAATCAGTGAAAATAGTTGTGTTTTCACTATTACGATCTTCAGGGAATTGCATGCCGAGCAGAGGGGTCAGCATGATGATACGCATGCACGCTAAAACTTCTCTCACTCAATTATCCGAATCGGCGCTTATGATGCAAATTCGAGACCGGATAAAAAACTGGTTACAATAATGAGTCTACCTGTCCGCAGCTGTCTGTGTAGACGACACAGTGAGCGTTTTGAGGGACCATTTGGGCCCCGACAGTGGCTAAGGCTGCTAAGGCGATCCACATGCAGCAAACGAGGCAGTGTTCGTACGGTATATTTTTTTCAAGTATCGGTTTTTTGGTGGTCATTCATTACCACAGTCGGTTGAATTCGGTGGAGAAGGCACCAGATCAAAGGAGACACGCGTGGAGCGTGTCCTCGGAGCATCCAGGTACATGTACGACAGTGAGATCGAATTCGTTTTATCGTTCAGTTCCAAAAATATTTTATACGTGTCATTCATTTAATTTTGAGTTATTATTATTTTTTTTTTTTAATTAAGCACTCCACGAAGGAACATGATGAGTCGTCGGTTAAATTGCAGCCACAGCCGTTCATTGTCCCGATAAACACGCCGGTACGCGAGTAACGAGTGAAAAAGCGCGAGAAAAATGAAAGCGTAAATTACGGAAAACGAAAGTGTAAATCGTCGGCTTGTCGTCGCGCCCGTCGTTTTATTTATTTATTTTTTTTTTTCAAGTTCGTTTACACGCATGGTCGTGCAAACGAGAAGATTTCGACGCGTTGGTTGCCACGCGTATTGGAGCGCGCGAACGTACGTGTATTCGAGCGCGCAATATTATACACATATTAAATTCGATGAACGACGGATGCATGTACCAGGGTGTGCCGCACAGACATTAATTCCGATTTTGTCCACGGGGACATCGAGATTTGATGGGCGGGCATCGAAATAATGCGGCGGCGGTGCACACATACCAAGCCAACGTTATGTATATATATATATTCATTATAAATAATACGTAATATATATGTGTATATATATA